ACATTCATGAGCGAACCAATGTTGAGATATGCAGCTAGTGTACATATGAACATAATATGAACAGCTTGTGAATAATAGTTTCTTCATTATGAACACATTCAGGGGNATAATATGAACAGCTTGTGAATAATAGTTTCTTCATTATGAACACATTCAGGGGCGAACCAATGTTGAGATATGCAGCTAGTGTACATATGAACAGCTTGTGAACAATAGTTCCTTCATTATAAAAACATTCATGAGCGAGCCAATGTTGAGATATGCAACTAGTGTACATATGAACACAATGTGAACAATTGGGAACAATAGTTCATTCATTATGAACAATGAGTTTATCCATAATAGCTTGAACGATACCGAAAACTTTAGTACCGGGTCTTTTCTACCAATCACAAATTCAAAAGAATTATAGATAGAAAAATCAATATTATAAAAAAAAACAAGATCAATAATAAATTAACAAAAATTATGAATTCAATATTAGATGTCTTGATTCATGTCTCTACTAGAACATATATGAACACACCTGAAAGTATATGAACACTAGTTGCAGTCTATGGCAGGTCAAACATCACAAGCAGTTGATGGAGCCGAATGGTTCTCAGAATTGGATTGCATAACAAATTAAGTTGACGATGAACTCATTTGAACATATGAATTGGGTTCGTAGTAATAATTAAAGAAAAAACTACCAACACAATATGAACTATAAAAAACACAAAAACTTCATAATCAACATATTTTCAATTAAAACGAATATAATAACATATTAATTCATTACCAATACAAACGCTTTGATTATTTCTTCAGTTTCGGAACTCGAAGTCCAATTGTCATAGTAAACCATATTAACCTTCTCATTGTTGTCGAGTTGTTTTCCAATGGGTTTATCCATATTATCTTGAACGGTATTCGAAAACTTTACCATCGAGTCTCCTTTAACAATAAAAAAATCAAGAAAATTATAGATAGATAAATCAATATTATAGAAAAACAAGATTAATAGTAAATCAACAAAAAATATGGAATTTTTTGATTTTGTAACTCCTAATTAATGATATGGGAGTTACATACAAACCAAAATTACATATTTACCCTTGTCATTAAATTATGAGATGAATATGAACCAAGATAAAAGATAAATTTTCATTGGTTGAGCTTGATTAACAAAGTTAACACAATAATCTTGGTTAACATTTGAACCAAGCTCTCTCTCTCTCTCTCTCTCTCTATATATATATATATATATATATATATAATATCACGTGAGACCAACATGTTTTTATGAGACCTGTGAAACCACTTTTTTACACTTGAAACTTCACAGCAAAACGTTGTGAAGGTTACCTTCACAACTTTGTACTGTGAAGTTTCAAGTGTAAAAATATGGTCTAAGGGTCTCACGAAAACAAGTTGGTCTCATGTGATCTCAAGTCTATTTATATATGTGTGTGTGAGAGAGAGTCGGAGAGAGAAAGAGATTGGATTCAGGTGAGATCAACCTGTTTTCATGAGACCTGTACGTGAGATTACAATTTTACACTTGAAACTTCACAGCAACAAGTTGTGAAAGTAAAAAAACATTGTGAAAGTTACATTCACATTTTTTTACCGTGTATTTTCAAGTGTAAAAATGTGTACTCACGGGTCTCACGAAATTAGACTGGTCTTATATGATCCCAATTCTATACATATATATACATATGTGTGTGTGTGTGCGCGCGCACGCATGCGTGCGTGAAGTGGTCCATTCAAGGAAGAACTGATATAGTTTTTGATAATTGTGAGATCCAATCTCAATCATAAATCAATGGATAAATTAAAAAACTAATATTTTTAGTAATTTGACTTAATATTATAGTTAAAGGGCATTTTAGGTATTTTAATTTTTTTATCTCTCCCCTCTCTCTCACACCTTCCTTCATGTGATACCCAAAATACACAATGTGATACCCAAAACACACTAAGCAAACTTTGAAACCTCAGTGATACCAACTGTGGTATCACTGTCACAGGTGGGTGTTTAGTGGTCAATTATCGGATACGGCGTCTTGTCAGACAAGATGACCAGAAGAGGTCACCGGAGTGGTGGGGGGCGCCTGAGAATGTCATCGGATTTGGTCCCTGTGTGTTCGTGTGTGTATATATATATACATATATTAAAATAATTAAACTAATGAAAGTAAATTAAAATATTAAACTAATTAAATTAAACTGAATAATCAACACAATTTACTAATTTACCATTTGTTTTATTTTAGTAAGTAACATTATTTATCTAAAATGAGTGGCTCATATTAGACCTCACAGTTACCATAAACTATTTAGTTCTCATTTGATTAGAGTTATATATATATATATATATATATATATAGAGAGAGAGAGAGAGAGAGAGAGAGAGAGAGATTTGGGATCAT